CTATGTTAAATGTCATGCAGGACGTGAGGTTTCGACGGACCCGGGCAAAGCCAGTTAATATTCGTACTATATATTCCTATTGTTTGTAGATTTCGATCGTATAAACTCCCATTCGCCGCCAAATCGCCAGACGCGCGTCAATCCCTTCCTGAAGGACATGCCAAAAGCCAAAACGCAGGATGCTGAGACAAAGAAGCTGCAACAGACCCACACACATCCGCTAGAGCAGCCCAAGGATAATGCACAAAGCGATGAGGAATGTGAACAGCAGCAAAGCAATAACAATGAGAGCGTCAAGTTGCCAGTGCCAGAAATGTCACAGGAGGGGGAGCATCAGCAGGGGGAGGTGGTGCAGCAGGAGCAACAGCTGGATGTACCTGAACTCGTGCAGGCCACAGACAATCAGAATGGCAATAAAATGCTGGAGCATGCCGCAGACACTAACGAAACAGTCGAGTCAGTTGAACAGCAACTTGAAGGCAATGGCATTGTTAAAGAGCAGCTGCCTCCGGGCAAAGTTATGCGACGCAAAAAGTCCGCAACGCAGCCGGCGAACAATGGCGACAGCAGCAACAACAACAACAATGGCAGCAACAGCAACAGTACGAGCCAAGTGACACGCAACAACCAACGCGCCTCGGTGGCCAAAATGGAGGGTCTGGGCGCCTATTTAGACGTCAATGCCAGCATCATGTCCAGCAGCACAGAGGTCGAAGGTGTGTATGCCGCAAACGAACCTGGGAATCGTTGTTTTATTTCCGATATGTTAACAGATGACGGCAAGGATCTGGATGTGACGCTGCCCGAGTGGATTGTGGTGGGTGAATCGGTGCTTATACGTCCGTATAACACCAGCGGCGTTATTAGCTTTGTGGGCACCACACATTTTCAGCCCGGCGCCTGGATTGGCGTGGCGCTGGACACGCCCACGGGCAAGAACGATGGCACCGTGCAGGGTATACAGTACTTCCAGTGCAAGCCCAAGCACGGCATCTTTGTGCGCGCCGATAAACTGCTCCTGGACAAGCGCGGCAAGGCGATGCGCGCGTATAAGGCGACCGAGAAGAGCAACAGCATCAGCAAAGGTGGGCAGCCATAGACGAATCAAATGACAACCACATTTCACAATTCACACATTAAATGACTTCTTGCAGAGATGAGCAGCTCGATGACACGCTCGAAGAGCCGCGGCGAATCGCTGAACGTGTCGGCGCGCAAATGATTGTACCCAAAATGTTCGCATCAGCTGCAGCGTTGGACTAATTGCAGGCAGTCGACGCTGGTTAGCAGTCGAGTTGGTGCAAGTGCAACTGCAGCTGCAACTGCAACTGCAACAGCCACAGCGACTCCAACAACCTGCCACAGATTGCGTGCAACCAGCAACGCTGCGGATGCGAACAGTCATGGCAAGAAGTGTTATGCCAATCGACGCTCGACGGCCTTCTAAGGTCGCCAACGATGCACATCGTCCAGCAACGAACAATGCGGAGCATTAACCAATTACACGCTAGCTTAACTTACTCTCTATCGCACCGCATGCCGCAATTACACACACAAACACACACACACACACACCTAATCCAACGCTTTGATATGTATTTGTAAGGCGGTGTCTACAGCAGAACTAGCAACTAGCAATTAATTAACCAAGCGGCCCTCCTCTCTGCCAGCTGCACGCGATTCTAATGGATTAACTAAGCAAAGCGTTTGCGTAGTTGCATTAACCAAGTGCAATACCACGAACACTTTGATACCCTTAGTCTATATGGTAGTTTATAATTATGATCGTTTAAATGTGTATGTGTGTATGTTTCCTAATGGTTTTATTCCGATTCAATTGGTTGAGTTCTTTGTAGTTAATTAATGTTTGCTGCTTTTTGATAAAGCACGAATTTTACTATATTAATATATATATTTATATATATATTTTTGTACCGGTTGTTTAATTGATTGCCTAGTTTAGTTCAATTGTTTTTTGTACGTACGAAACTTTATTTTATATTTGTATATCTTGAACTATATCAATGTGACTTGGTTAATACTACTACGAGCTTATTTTTTATTGTTATGGACTATATCAAATATATAAAATCAGTTGTATATAAATATTTATGCAGTAAGTTTTACCAGACATGCAATACTTTTTCAATATATCTCCCTTATAATTGAGCTCACATTTTGTTTAGCGCATTTATATATATATATATACTGACAAGAAACCAATACAATATTAGTATATAATAACATATTCCATATCGCTGCGCCTGTGCTAAACAAGAAAAGCGAATCAAGATTAAATTAAACCAATTATCTTGTATCTTGTTTTGAGAACAAGAAGCTTGGCATATGCGCGGTATATATGTTAATTGTATTATTTGATGTGATGTATTTATAATTTTTCCATTTATATTGTATATTTAAATAAACTTCATTTTGCTCTACATACATATATATATATTTATATACGTTTTTGGGTTATGTCTTATTATTTTGCTATTCGATGTGCAATATTAATTTTTTGTCTGTATGAGTATTATTATTTGTATAATATATCGATCAATGTTGAAGGTTGTGCGACAATGTTTGTGAACCAATAACCGAACACTGATACAGAATGAAAGGCTTGCGTTAGTCCAAAGATTGTGGACTGCGTCGAAAAAGATATGATGGAAATGAAGCAATAATTGTGTTGAATATTCAATTTTATGTTTAAGATAATCTATGACATATGAGATATACATATATGGAAAGATAAACAGCAAACCGGCTGACGAACGTTTGTACGTAAACGTATCCATCCATCCAACAACCAAGACATCCAAGACACTCCAAACTGAGTCTGAGATAAATTGCAATTTACAAACAATAAAAAAAAATAACAAAACAAAAAATACTTATAATATAAAAAAGAAAACATAATAGCTGCAACCGACAACAAGCGATTTACACTTAGAAACCAAAATTCCAAACAGAAAAAAAGAAAACAAAAATTCCAAATATGAGTTGAAAAGTTAAAGTAACCCAGCTGGAGGAACTACATCCAGCCAGTCAACCAGTATAATACTTATATGCATACATGAATATATATTATATATTAGGTATACATATGTATATTTTCGAACTGTGTTTTCTACTTGCATCAACTACCAAAAACCAAAAAAACCAAAAAAAAAAACAAAATATATACTTGAAAATACGTCCAAAATTGAAAAATTCAAAGCAAGCTAAAAACTACAATATATATATATACAATTACATATTAATTATATATATATACATACATAACTATTTATTTACCAATGATACACATAAACATAAACTGACAACTAAATATATCTTCGGTTGGCCGAAGCTAAAATGCTCCTTGAGAAAGTATTGAAAAACGAAAAGAGTTTTTTCGACTTCGAGAACAACAATTTTCATCTAAATAATGCTCAAAGAGCATTCAAAATAATACAAAATAATAATATTTGGTGTGTGTGCAATTAGTAGACGCCGCATTTGAGTTCTTAAGATTTGGTTCCAGAAAACAAAAAAAAAAAAAAAAACTCATTAAATTGTTGCAACCCGCCCAGCACAACAACTAAATGTACACGAGTGTACATAAAGGCGCGTTAAAAATACATAAAACTAAACATTAACTGCAAAATAAAAAGAAATATTACTGAAATTTAATGCATTTAATAAGCGTAAATAACATTCAAATAGAGCTTGAAATAATGAGAGATATTCCGATTTAAATAAAACCAAAAACATTTAATCAAATTAAAGGCACGCATAATGCGCTTTCAATGTATTGTAAAATAGTTGAGAAAGAGTTTAAAAAATTTGCATTAAATAACTAAAAAAAAAAGTGCTTGCTAATCGCATCTACTAGAACCTTTAGTACACATATATATTTAGTTATAGAGTGTAGAACGGCAGAATGCAGAGTAGAAATCAAGATTGAAAATGCATGCAAATTAAAAAGGTACCTCAAAGCAAGAACGCAGCATCTAACCCCCCCTATGTTATATGGCACACCCTAGGAGCTATTGCCCGATCAGACAGTTAAATGTAGATACAATATGATTTGCAAATCATATAATACACCCCGGTAAACATTATATATATACTACTTAATACTTAAATAGGCTCGGTATGAATAGATGTTATTTTATGCATTGGCTTCGCATAGAAGAGCAGCAAATACATTTTATGTGGATAGTACCCAAAAAAAAAAACAAATATGCTATTCGTACTAATATGATAAAAAAAGAGATACTCGTAAATTTGAGCACTTTAGAGCTTTTAGCACGATCAACGAAATAATTGTTATTAATACGAAAAAAAAATACATCAATTACAAATTGTAGTCTTTGCCCGCAAGAAAGCCATTTACCATTGAACAACTACACAAATAATGTTGAATAAACAATAGGAATTAGTAAAAAAAAAACAAATGCTTTTATTGTGCAATCAACAAATACACAAATATCAACACACAGAACACAACACGAGCTCTAAATGCAGTTGTTAATTTTATTGTACAATTTCACTTTGCTATTGTAGTTGTAACTTTTGTGTACTTGTATTAACAATTTCAACACAGACAACTAAAGAAAACAAAAACAAGAACAATTTCTGTAATTTATACTTACTTATTTTACTCAAGTTTTAGTAACTTAATGAACGTCAGCAAAAATACAAAAAAACAAAAACAAAACGCGTATTCAACAAATTCGATTAAATTTAAACAACAACAAGAAATTATGTATTTAAAAATCTATAAATATACAAAACGTGCAATGAGCCGCATTGTGTTTAATTATCAAGCTCCATACCTTCTTCTTCTTATAGAGACAGGCCCAGCTGTGTAAATACCTGAGCTACACACATACTTACCTTGACTTAAGCGACTTACATACGTGTTGGCCCTGAACTAGACCTCTTTTTATGTCTTTCGGCATTTTATGGCCAAAGACTTGACCCAGCCAGTCAAAAAATATATATATGTCATGTGTTGTTTTAATCTTCCGTTTGGAAGTTGTTTTATATTTGATTTTCAAAAAAACAGATGGCAAAAAATGTTGTCGTTAGTTAATAAATGCTTACAACGCTTTTAATGTGGTTCTCACGCATTGCATTTAAGACATAGTTTGATTATTCGAGACTCTGCAATTAGTTGAACTGCATTTTGGAATGCGAGTGTTATGATGAATTTATCATTTGATGATCACATAGCAATTATAATTATTATTATTCAAGCATTTACATAGGAATATTATGCACATAAACCGATATAATACATCAACTTCTTCTAGTTTCCAATTATCTTCTTTTTTTTCTTTACACAACAAATGCACAACACATATTGTATCTTGTGTTTTGTTTTCTTTTATGGTATAATATTTTGACTTGTTTTTTGATTTGTGTTGATTTTGTTTGATATTCACTAACTACAACTTACACAATCTATATAGTATATATAGTGTATAAATTATATAGAAAATATACATATATATGCATTTCTATCATTGCATTTTTTTAAATTGTTATTTACACATGTTGTTGCGTTAATTTGAGTCTGTAGTTAAAAGCGCTTCGCTTCGCTTAGTCAGTTTCTCTCAGTTGCAATTGGCTTGGTCCGCTCGCTGGGGCTGGCCACAGGCGTGTGTGTGTTTGTGTGTGTGTGTGTATAAACTTATTCGTGTCCAATGATCCATCGCTGCGTCTCACTGGTCAGATCGCATGGCGCCACCTGTGCATCGTCCATGCTCTTGAGGCCATCGTGATCCAGGCACATGCCCGTGTTGCTGTGCACCAGCTGCTGGTTCTCGTACTTCCACTGCTCGTTGTAGTCATCGTTCTCCAGGCAGGGCACCATCACGATGCGGTACGGTGGCGAGCTGCTGTGCTGGACTGTGGCGCAGCTTATCTCGTTGCGCAGCACTTGGCTCTTGGTGTAGGAGAAGAGTTGCGACTTTTGCAGCTCCTTGCCACAGGGATATAGGCCCAAGTTGTAGGGTTTCTCGTTGTTGCTCAGCAGATCGTCAGCGCAGAGATTGGCGTGCACGGCCTTTATTCTGCCCCAGGCCTTGACATTCTTGTTGGGCACAAACTTCTCGGGATACACGTTCTTCAGGTACCAGTCAAAGCTCTTGCAGCGCAGCTTCTTGCGCAGCATCACGCGATGCGTGACATCGCCAATGTCCGCATGGAACTTCAGATCGGGTCGATTCAGAAAGAATACGTTTATATACTCATCCATCCAGACCAGCGCCATGCGAGCGGTGTTGATGCCGTGCGTGTCACGATCATTGGGGAATCTGCGAGGAAGGAGAATTCAGTTAAAACAAGGATTAATCAGGGCTTAAAATATATACTAACTTGTAGGGATGGAAGTCGCGGAAGATGTGGCCCACTCGGGAGCAGGGTATTGTCTCGATGGTGCCGCCACACTGCCAGATTCTGAAGGACATCTCCAGATTCTCACCACCCCAGCCATCCATCTGCAAAGTCAAAACACAGTTAAGCATATGATGGAGTTCGTCCTGTGCCCGCGGCTCACCTGTTCATCGTAGCTGCCCACCTCCCAGAAATAGCGTCTGTCCATGGCAAACAGGCCGCCCGCCATGGTGGGACTATAGGCTGGGCAAATCTCGCGTGGCTGACTGCATTCCCTGCTCTGGCGCAGCTTTTCGCGCTCGGACAGATTCACCCAGTCGAAGTGGCCGTTCCACTGGAAGCCGCCCACCTGGAAGGACTTGTAGCCATTGGTGCTATATTGGAAATCATTCGCATCGATCACATCAATGATGGGCACCAGGACACTGGTGCGCGAGTCCTTGATGCGCTGCAGCAGCGGCTCACACCAGCCCACATTCGCCTCGCAATGGGCGTCCAGAAAGATGAGCACATCGCCGCTGGCAATCCGAGCGCCGGCCAAGCGGGCGCGTATCAGACCCAAGCTGTTGGCGAAAAACAAGTCCAAACTTTCCTTTAGCAAAATGGTATTTTTTTTTTTTTTTTTAGTTTTTTCTTTCTTTTTTTGAGAATTAAATTATTGGGTCAGCGAACAGAGAGGCGCGCGCTAAGCGAATAGTGCACGCCGAGATACGAAAGATATACAAAATAAAAGTCAAAAAACATAATCATGAGTTGACGAACAGGTTTTACGGTTTCATTTGGTGCCCTCGACAAACGACACGGCCTGTGGGGTATGCCGTGCAGGAAGTAGGCAATGCAACGGCTCTCACATTGAACTTGTCAGAGAAACTCATAATAAATGGCTCGTGAGGATTCGAAGTGCAAATTTAACTTGAACTCCAGCTCTTGTTGTGGCTCATAGCTAGCCAAATCAATTGATCTCTGCTCGACTTTATGGCCCAAGGGGTATTTGATAGTCGTCATAGCCAAATGATTTGTTTGACTTTTGAAATTTTTGAACGTTTTTCAGTTCTTCAACTTTTAAAGCTGTGAAGAAGACGCTCCAAGTCATTCTGTCCGTCCGTCCGTCCGTCCGCCTGTCCAATTGTGAGTCTGTGCCGCAAAACGAGTTATTCAAATGAAGGCGATCCAAACGATATCCACTCGAACGTGTGTTTGTGTTAATTTCACAGCGCACAAGTTGAATGTGCATTCGATTAGCTGTATTAAACTTTTCCTAGCCCAGCCAGAGGCCGAGCAAAGTGTGCCAAATTGCTGTGCCCTTTCCCCCATTACACTACCTTTCCGCTTCCCCGTCCCCCCCTCGCCCCTCACTCACCGATTTTTGAGCCGCAGAATTGTCACCTTGCCGCTGGGAAAGCGTGTTCTCGTATAATGATCCAGCTTGCCGCCCAGCTCCGCATTGTCGCTGCCATCGTCGACCAGGATGACCTCCTTCAGAGCCTTCTCGTTGCAAGTGTTCAGCGTGCTGTGCACCGTGCGCACCAGCACGGAATAGGGTTCATTGTAGAATATAACGATGACACTGGCCGTGGGCAGCGTGGTCGGATCATCGTACTTTTGCGCCAGGCACAGCGGATTGCGATGATCGCCAACGGTGCGATTGTAGGACAGCTGCTCGCTCAGCTCCTCGTTCAGTGCGATCTTCTTGTAGATCTTATCGCCACGCGCCTTGGCAGCGCCATGCAGATGCACTGCGGCACCTTTGTTGCCCAGACTCGGATCCTGCTTCTTCAGATCCAGCTGTATGATCTGCTCGTACGGCGACAGTGTAACGGGTCTCTGTATCTCGTTCTCGCCCTCGTCGAGGTACCTGTCCTGCGACCGATGCCGCAGCGCTGCCGGCCTGACCCGGACGGGCAGTGGGAAGTCATCGCTGGCCGGCTGAACTTTTAGATAGAGTATGAAGCACAGCGCGACGAGCACAAATATTATAACTTTGCCATAGAAGGAACGAAACCGAGGCAGCATTTTGGTGGTTGTCTATGTGTGTGTGAGTGTGTTTGTGTGTGTGAGTGTGTTTGTGTGTGTGTGGCTTGTTCCTGTTCCTGTTGCTGTTGTTGTTGAGGTAGAACGGACTGCCTCCGCTCGCTGTTAACTTTCAATTACAACGTTGCAGCGTGGACGTGGCCCTTGGACTGCTGCTGTTGCTGCTGGATTGTTGATTCATTTGTCACACTGCCCGCTGGCTTAAAATACATACATACATACATAAATAGACGGGCAAATATTTTTTGTTAAATTTACATACATACATGCATGCATATGTTGCTGTGTCTGCGCCCGCAGCTTTCGTGTATATTCAGTTTTTATTTTTTTTTTTATTTATATACATATATTTATTCATAAATATACTCCGTTTTGCAAGCAGCTCAAGCGCTTTGTGATGTGGCGTCTGTGGCTTAAACTAGACTAAACGTTAATTCTAGTCGTTGCGGTCGCTGTCGCTGTCCGCTCCGCGCCGCCCATTGCTGCTCGCACCTAGCTACGTATGTATGTGCTGGTATGTCTATATGTATGTATGTATGTGTATATGGCTTAACTGTTGCTTCTTCTTCTGTTGCTCGGTGCACACTTCTGGGCTGCAACGCAGCTACGCATATTTACAGCATGTCAACTGTTGCCCTCGCTTTAATTGACGTTTTATGTTTGTTTAACGCGTCTGGCACTTGTTATTTTACGAAATATTGTTTTTTGCGAATATACAAAAACACTTACGAACAACTTGCAGGTGATGCGGCGTTGCCACCTGTTAGCAAGTGTATGGGCAGTGGATGCGTTCAGCATGAACAAACAATATTGTGGTAACTATATGTTGCTGCTTCTAACAGAGCAGACTAAATTAAGGGCTACAATTAACTTAATTTATTAAACTGTATAATAATAAACATTTATCACACATTGTTCCATTGAATATTGTTTGGCCAGACGGCAATTTGTTAAACTGTGACTGTGTGCTGTGAACGCGCTTACTCTAGTTTTTTCGGCAGTCTGGCAAGCCCATACTTAAAGTGTGCTGTTAGGCGTTTCGTGGCTGTGTTGGTAAATGTACACAGAGCGCCAAGATTTGAATGTGAGAAATGCCAGTATTATATTAGCTGAAGTTATTTCGACTTTTGATAATAATATTGTAAACATAATTAGATGTAAAAAGATTTAAATGCAATTTAATGGGCTTTTGCTGATAGTGTCTCTCTTTGATAAAGTAAGAGAGTGAATTTTTGATTTTGTGACTACCAAAAATTCGAAGTTTACGAAAGTGGGCGCAAAGTACGTTCGAGAGCGGCTTGAAAATGGGACTGAAAACGAAAGGGAACTACTGAATATGCCGAAGGGCCGAGGTGTTCCACTCAAAACTGTCGCACTTGACACTTTTGTTGTCAACTTAATGCACAAATTGCATGTTCACCTGTTGTTAAAATGAAAACAAAATGTATTTCCTATTCACAAAAAAAAAACGTTGTCTGAATTGTTGTCTTTGCTTTCTTGGCTTTGACACGCGATGACACCTTGTTGTTGTTGTTGTTGCTGCTGCGCATAATTGAAATATTATTTTAATTTTAGACTTTCATTTATTCGAAAACCAAAATAAGGTTAACAAATTTATCCTATATTTAGCCCCGATGCTTTTGTGATTAATTTCGCTAATTAACTTAGGTATTTCTTCGTTTTGTTTTTATCCATCGCCAAATGTTGTTGCTGCTCTTCGTGCCATAATTAATACGTTACGTATACGCAAGCTTGTCGCTGCGGGGGCCGCCGTCGCCGCCGCAGGTAAGCGGCAAAAAAAAAGGGTTCAAAGAGCTCCCTAACGCTGCGGTAATTGGAGTTTTTGGAGCGGGGTCGATTGTGGGAATCCGGCGCCAAGTGGCGAGAGATGGTGTTAGGTGCAAGTGGCTCGTTTTGCAGATCTGCGCTAACGCTCTTTAATAGCTTCCAGCGACAAAAACTAGGAAGGAAATAAATTACTTTGCCAGTCACACACTGTTTGCCAAAGTTTTTCTTTTGTTTTTCTTTCGCCCTCTCTTTCATTCTTCAGTGTTTTTTGCTTTTCTTCTGCCCGTTGCCGACATTTCGCATTTGATTTGTGGCGACCTCAAAACTGTTAACTGCCTGTTAAATCGTAACAGCGCCAGTTAAATTGTAACATTGGGCCAAATTACGATTTGTATTTTCGTTTTTTTAACACCTTTAATTTCATAAGCAACCGATTTTGGGCACATTTAGCGCATATTCAATTTAGTTTTGTTTAAGGTTGAATTTGTAAAGTTTTATGAGGCGTTCAAATATAAAACCGAATGCATTCAAGGTATACGATTTTAGGAGCTGCTTCTTTAATGATACGCATATATGCTATTTGATTGGTTAAAGATATTTGTTATTGACTTTCAGAGCGAGGCCTCATTAACAGGCGCAAACAAAAACAAATAGCCAACAGTTTAGGCTCGAGATCTGACCATAATGACATAAGCCACAAAACCTATTTAATCTGAATGACCCTGAGGGCTCCGCTTGGGTCTGCTCTGTTTGGGTCTGGCCTGCTCCGCTTGCCCATTTTTGTGGTCTTCATGTTATGCGGATAATCATCCCGCCTCATCATCATCGTCTTCGCAATCCATCAACAGACAATGCATAATAATAGAATTTGAAAATTTGAAAAGCGATTGCAATTGAAAAATTGTTAACCACAATTTATTTTGTTACGGATTGTTTTTGTTGTCTTTCTTGCGATGAGTTGCTCTACAAAATGTCAAAAGGTTGGGCAACAAAAATTATAGCTCTTTATTATTGGACGCACAAAAGGAGCTGAGCTCGAGCTAGGAGCTGATGTTCGTAATACTTTATCAATTGGTTATGGGAAATATATAATTCGAATTACTGGGAAAATCAATAACTATTCAAAGAAATGCTGGGAACAATTTGTCTGGGAGATTTATAAGTTGACTAGAGCTCTGGGAGTTTAGGCTACACAATCATTTTCTTTGTAGAAATTAGGTATGACAACAGTTTTTATATAATACGATTATAATAATGTATAGCTATATATATGATGGTATTTGGGTTGTCAGGAGTTTAGAAGCTTATTTATGGTTATTAGATTAAAGTTTTTACTCAATAAAAGAACCACACGATCATGTATAAATAGATCGATAGATAGGTACATAGAAAGATGCATAGATAGGTATCTAGATAGATGAGTAGTTAGATAAAATAACAGATAAATGAGTAGATAAGTAGATACAGATGATAGATACATGATGAAAGCTGCTTGGATTGATGGATGGATAGATAGATAGTTAAGTAGATAGATATATAGGGAGAAAGTTAGATAGATAGATAGATAGATAGATAGGTAGATAGATAGATAGATAGACAGATATATATATATATATGAATAGACGGAAAGAAAGAAAGACAGATGGATAGATATATTTATATAGATAAATAGATAGATAGATAGATAAATAGATTAAGATATTGATAATCATGTAATACAAAACTATCTATCTGTATCTATCATATGTCTTGGTCAACATTCATCTACAAATGATACCCTTAGCTATCCTATATAGACATAGGTCAAAATTGCCCACCCCCATAACTCGGTCAAATCTCAACCGATTTTCACGAGATTTGGCTCTTTGTTCGTGGATTGACCTCTAGATCAATTGGGCATCTAAATCTGGCAACATTATTTTTGGTCAAAATTCATGTGAAAATATTGGCTTACTTTGGCTCTCAGAGATTTTCTTGTCTACGTACCACGGGCAAGGCCAGGTTTATATATATAAATAAAGATAGATAGATTGATTGTCAATATCTAAATTGAATCAAATTGAATAAAATCCATCTATTTAAATTATGTGACCACCTAAAACCTATTTGTTATACCTATTTTCCATTAAAAGTCGTACCAATCTGGTATTGAAAATGTTTTCAAATCTAGCCCAAATCAGCTTTGAATCGGTTGAATCGGTTGAATCGGCTTGAGTCTTATCTCCTGTCCTACTACAACACACATAACACGGTTTGAACAAGCTCCAATAGCTGCTCAGCTACTATTATTAGCCCGAAAAACACCTTTAAACCGCTTTTCGGCCGTTTAACACACTTGCAATTTGGCCAAATTACAAATTACACTCTTCGCATTTCCTCGACCAAACGATTGTAGACAACAATTTCATAACTTCAAATAGCTGCAAGATATGAGAAACAGTCCATAAAATCGATAAAAAAAAAAAACTACGAATTTTAAAACTGAAGAGCAAAATGCAATATCGAAAGCGTTTGTTCAACGTAATCAAAGCGGAGCTCTTGTATCCGCAACAATATCACCCACTGGGTAACACCAAGACGGCCTTGGACCTGGGGCAGCGCAAGGGGCAGGGGCAGGGGAGGGGCACGCGACAAAAAAGCCGCTGTGACTAAGTCGCTAATATGTTTGATAGTTTTAATTTCGTCTCTGTCAGCGCATCAGGTAGTTAAATTAGGTTTTGCATAAGCGCCACAGACGCCCGCATTGTTTAAGCATTTATGGGATCGAGATGAGGCATTGCCGCAAGAGCCCCGTCATCGAATTTACAGAGTATTATTGGAGCTCCAAAAAGGGCAACATTTAAGCGGGGCAAATTCGCTGCAGATGGAATGCGCATGCACAACATTTCCAATTGGGTTTTCACAATCCAACCACAAATTGATTCATAGATAACATTGAATACCTTTTAAAATCGCATATTGATTTTAATCAGAGAGCAAAGAAAGAAAGAAACAACGAACAACTTTGTGCGGACGTAAGTCAACGTTTGCCGTTTTTTTACGATGTCATTTAAATGAAAATGGAAATGCGTGGTTATATGGCAGCTATACATATCTATACATATCTATATATTTATATATGTATTTATGGAGGAGCATCCGCCAGCATTTTTGAAGCGGAGGCGGCTGGCTCAGCATGTTGATGGGGTTTAGAGTTCAGCGCCTCGGCTTACGGTATAAAAAATGACTACAAAATGCGTGGCTTATGTAATTGGGAGCATTCGGTGACAGGGCAATTAGTGGACTAGTAGCTAAGCCGCCACGTTGAGCTGCAAAATTGATTACAGATCACTTATCACGTTTTTCGTGGTGGCCAGGCAACAAACTTTTGTCTATCTTTTAAATGTAATTCCCAGAAATAACCTATTTCCCTCTAAAACCAGTTTTAGAAGAGTTTTCAACCAATTTTAATCTAATTTGACTAAAGACTAAGCCAAATCTTAAATCAGTTTAAGAATAGTTTTAAATACGCTTTAAAGCAAATCTAAAACAGTTTTGGAACTGTTTTTAAGCAATTTTAAACCATTTTTCAATAAGCAACAGAACAGTTTTAAAGACATATAAAACCGGTTTTAAAATAGTTTTAAACCAATTTGAAATCAGTTTTACAATTGTCTTCAAACTATTTTAAACTAGTTTTAAAAAAGTCTTAAGCTAATTTGAAACCAGTCTTAGAATATTTCAAAACAATTTAAAACCGGGTTTGATAAGTTTTCGACCAAGTTTAAACCAGAATTTCCAATTTTAAACCACTTTTAGAACAGTTTTGAAGCAATTTGAAACCACTTTTAGAACAGTATTAAACAATTTTAAAGCAATATTTGAAGCATTTTACCTGATTTAAAGCTGCTTTAAACCTGTCTAAAACCGGTTTTAGACATGTGCATTTCTAAAACCATTTTTCTTCTCTTCAAATCGCATTTATTTAGTTGCTAAGCAGCCAAAAGCAAGCTCGTGAGCTAAAGAAGCAAGTGGAGCGCATTCAGAGGAGAACTGTGGGAATTCAAAAGTATCTGCCCCAGCAGAGCTCGACGGCAAAGCAAAGGCAGGCGAGCAGATGGGCAGTCGCATAGAAATAGAATATCCAGGAGAGATCGCGAACATAGACCGCCTCTTCATTCGGCTCGCTAGAGCTGTAGTCCACCAGTTTGGTCATGTTCAGGTTAACCATGTCGGAGAAGGCACGGCGAATCCAGAACTGCATCACGCCAAACTCCCACATGGACAGCGTGTGCTGCTCGAAGAGCCGGCGATAGGGCCAGTGCCGGCGTACGGGCAGGCACATGAGCAGGAAGCGATGCAGGCAGACATCCTCGGAGTAGTAGAAGACGGGCTGCTTGAATAGCTTCTGCTGCTCGCTGTAGGACTTCCAGCGCAGATGGGTGACCGGGTAAATGAAGCTGGCATTGAAGGTGTCGCGCAAATGCACAAACTCGTGCCAATCGTCCAGGACGAATGCGTTGCGGGAATGGTCCGTGGTCAAATTGTAGCTCTTGAGCATGCGATTCGCCTCCCTGCGCTCCACGGCGATTCGGTAGGGTGACGCGCGAAAATCGGCATAGCTGCGCAGCATCGACTCGGCCGGCGGCTGTGTGAAGAACGACTGCAGATAGCACTCGTACATGGTGGTGGTCATGAGGCTGGCGAAGCAAAGCAGCAGGCAAATGGCCTTCAGATGGCGGCTGGCCGCCAGGGGCCACGGGAACGGCTGGCCGAGCAGGCCGCGCAGGCAGCGATCGTTGAGCAGCACCCGGCTGAGACTAAGCCGACGCCAGCTCAGCTCCTGGCTGTAGATGAGCAGCAGCGAGAAGATCAGGAACAACAGCAGCAGCACGCCCACCACCAGAGGCTCCACAATCATCGTGTAGATCTTCTTGTAGGGCAGACGCGCCGGCACGGGTATCATAAAGCAATACGACGAGGACACAAACGGATAGCTCAGATAGTCCATGTTATCCGATGTCAAGGTGCTCGCCAGCGTGCCAGCCACATCCAGCTCGTTCTGCTGCACCCGACGCTCCATAGTGCCATAGTATGTCGTCTTGCCCAGCTCAATGCCCGGACGCAGCTTCAGCGTGGCGTTCACGCGCCGCACAAACGTCTTCATCAGATTGCACACAAAGCCCGCCATCTCCAACTGCCCGGTGCTGGGATCTCGATAGAGCATGGAACGCGGCACCAGCTGATCCGGCTCGCTTACGATAACTGCGCCCTGCACATTGCCGTACTGCTGCACATAAATGGAGCCGGAGTTGGAGTTGGAATCGGAGCTCGAGTTGTAGCTGGAGCTGGCGAGCTGCACATAGTTGGGCTGCCGATAGAGGCGACAGCTGTACAGATTGCCCCGTGCATCCAGCATGGCCACATTGTGCTGCTCCCGTGCGAAGTAGAGCGCGCACAGCCACTGCGGCCGGATCTTGGCCTCCAGCTGGACCAAGCGTCGCGCCTGCTGCAGCTGCAATAAGGTGCGCGGATTGTGCTCCTGCTCGGCGGTAAGGCCGCAGCACAGCAGCAGCGTCGACTCGCTGTTGAAGCGCCAATCCGCCAGGCTGCTGCCATTGCTCAGCAGCACCGTCGGCAGCTCCAGATGCGGCAGCAGCTCATGGAACACACACGGCGCCCGTCCATAGACAACGATCGTCTCAAAGTGCCGCTCCAGGCGAATGCGCTGCAGCAGACGCTCCAATTGTTGCTTTTCCTGGATATCTGCTTGGTCCGGCCAGTCGTCCAGCTGGACGCAGTGCAGCCGCCGGCACAAGCAGCCCAGCACGAAGATGATGAATAACCGCATGACGCCGAGTCCTGCGGCCATCACGCAACTGTGGCCGTGCCGTGCGACTTGCGGCTGGCTTTTGTGTGTTGGCCCATTGGCGTGCAGTTGGCTTGTTTTGTGCGCCGTGTTAATATGGCTAAAAGCCCAATTACGCATTTTGTCGACGACCGGACATTTCAGGTATGTTCATGTTTCATTATTCCCCAGCTCACGACCAGCTCGCGGCCAATTCGCGTTGCACTTCTTCGGCCAATTAAACGCATTTCGATATTGTGCATGGCACAGGTGCATAAAAAATTTATTTATATTTTAAATATATATTTTTATACCCTAACCCATTGAAAATGGGTAAAAAGGGTATAATGTATTTGTGCAAATGTGTATAACAGGCAGAAGGAAGCATCTCCGACCCCATAAAGTATATATATTCTTGATCAGCATCAATAGCCGAGGCGATCTAGCCGTGTCCATCCGTCTGTCCGTCCGCCCATCTGTCTGTCCGTCCGTCCGTCCGTATGTATAAACGCAAGGATCTCAAAGCCTATAAGAGGTAGAGACTTACAATTTTAACTGTACGTCCTCCTAGTGCCCGCGCAGATCGAGTTTGTTTCCGATATTCGATAACTTGCCCCGTTTCCAAGTAATCGATACAAATCGATATCGAAATTCTGTTTTTTGAGCAATTTTGGTAAATAATAAGAGCTAAAATCACCAAACTTGACATATAGCTTCTAGAATAGGAAATATATATCAAGTATCTTTCATTTTATAGCTATCGCCTGTTGGAAGAAGAAGGTTTAGGGCATCCCCTAGTCGGGAGCTCCCGATTAGAACCTCTTACTTGTTTCTACCTATCTTTAGAGTTGATTCTATCCATACCTTAAAAATTACTATAATCCAAAGTTTCACTCTCTAGCTGCAATTGATCAGAAATAAAAGGTATCAGGCGCACAGAAGGACATTGCACAAGACCAATATGGCCTTTAACACTTTGTGATAGGGTATATAAAGTCAGTCACAGTTTGAAAGCCACTCTCAGTCACAGTTTAAGAGTCACTAAAGCTATTTCTAGCTGTTGATGGACTGTGCAGCATAGCCTGGCATAGCCTTTAAATTAATTTGAGCATTAAAATGCCAGCAGAAAATTGAGTCCAGGAGCGCTGCGGGGCTGAAAGGGCCCAAATTAGATAGGTTATATATGTTATATACAGATTGCCCTTACAAATTGGCCTTATATATTGCCCACCCATATTGCCTTTATATATTGCCCATAGAAAGTTGTTTAAAGCCATGAATTAGCTTACCCTTGATATAGAAATTAAGTAGTCCCAAAAAAAACCTTAAGCTCTTACCGGAAGCACAAAAAATACACTTTAAATAATTTATTTTTTTCTGTTTGCTTTTATACATATTTTTGTAGGTAGAATAATTTGCCCATTGCAGCAATCCATCTCAAGGTGGTCTTCAGCCTTAACTTACATGCTTATTATTTATATATATATATATATACATACACGACCTAAGCAGACTTAATTAACTGAAGATATCTGAAGATTTGCGTGATGCTGTGCATGAAAGTAAATTTTGCTCGGCTCTGGCATAAATATATATGTATGTATGTATGAGGTCAGAATGTTGTCGCCTCGACTGGTTAATGGGCGTGCGAGTCTGTTCCAATTGGGGATTTGGGTTTTCTTTCTTCTTTTTTTTACTCACTCGCATGGCATGTTTTTAACAATTTCCGGTGCGCGAGTGTGTGAGAGTGTGTTTGTGTGTGTGTGTGGCGTGTCTGTTGCACAGTCATTTGAGGCAGACAGTTCCAAGTCGAAGCTGGAGCTCGAGTTCCAGTTGGCGTTGAAGATGAAGCGAAATTTTCCGGCAATTTAAGCAAGTGCAGTCGAAACAAGTGTGTGCGTGTGTGTTGTGTGTGTGTGTTTGTGTGTGTTGTTTGTGGCAAATCAAAGATTTCATTTGATGCTCTCAATTGCAGAGTGCAAGTGCTTTTCAATTATTCAAATGAGTCTCTGCCAGCAGCACTCGAAAGTCTACCGAATTGTTTATGGCCTGCTCGTGCTCAAAATGGAGCTGGGAGCTGTTGCTGCCTCTGCCTCTGCCTCTGCCTCTGCTGCTGCCTCTGCCTCTGCTGCTGCTGCTGCTGCGACTCCTGCTCTGGTCTAGACGTTGCGTTAATAGCCCAAACGAGGCAACATTTGGCGGCGACACTGAAACTGAATATTTGTTGTGCTGCTTCATCAATTGGTTTTGCTATCGTCGCTTTATCTGCTGCCTTTTGCCATTTGCAGTTGTATTTTTCTTCTTCTTGTTGCTGTTGTTGTTGTTGTTGTTGTGAATGACGTTTCAGCGAAAGTTGTTACGTTACATCGATGTGGACTGCGCCAAGTGAAGACACCGAATGCCTATGCAAAACCGGTCGGTCATTGATTTTTGGCGGCTGGCAAAATTACCTGGCCATGGTCACTGCGCGCCAGTCAGTCACCCAGACAGACAGACGGACAGACAGACAAACAAACAGACAGACAGACAATCGCACTGGCCAGACAAAGGGTACGCTGCTCATCTGTTTGGCTTTTGCATGCATCGCTAATCTTGACAATTGTCGCACGCTGCGTATGCTTGATATATTTATGAAGCTGTGTAATGAGCTACACTTGTCTGCCTGCAGGCACTTAATTGCCACAAATGATGCAACAACAACAACAACAGCAACAACTTAAGCAAAATACCCAAAAAAGCAGCCCAGAAATGTGGGAGAGCTTACACAGCTCAATTAAAAAACTTGCGCATGCTTTGTATTTAAATTGGGAGCTTGTAAATTAGCTTCAACTTTAAACTTGCCTTTGGGCAAAGTCAAGATTAAAGTTTGGGCTGTTCTCTACTTGTGCTCAGCTAAATAACTCTTAGGCATATTACAAAATTATGTTCAATTTAGAGTATTGCTCGAAAGGATATTCTAAGTTTGCAGTCAATTTATGGGATAGAGTCTTTGATAGCTTGTTTTTCTTTCGATCATGTGGACAACTGAAAAACAAGGTTCGAATCCTTGACATATGGTCTATGTCAAGAGGCAATAGTTGCCTTTGCTGCTTGAAAAACTTCGCCCATTAGTTTCGTACTATATCCAAGAAATATAATAATAATAAGAAATTCATGTAAATATACTATTTCATGCAAGTCTTAAAGCTAGATTTCGACTATTATAAAAAAAAACATAAACAAAAAGAGCAAATCCAGAAAATTTTGAAATTGATTTGATCCATAAATAAAATTTAAAAAAAAGTTTTGAAATAAAGATTAGAATCCCATCAGGAGAAAAGTTATGGTAGTTAAAAAGTTTTCCTATACAAGATCTTCCAAATCGGGCTGTTCGGCATTATAATATTATATATATATTAGTCTGATAATTAAAAGAGCACAATTGTTTATAGCTATTTATTGTTATTTTGTTTGGGCTAGCTCTTAAAAGAGAGCTCACATATCCCGCATTTGGTTTCTTTTCTTCTTTTATGCTTTTTTTTTCAATGATCAACGGAAACAGCTCACAAAAATATCAATTATTTCTGTATTTCCGCTACAAACTGGGAGTAAATGATTTATTTGAGATGCGTTTTACGTTTTTGAAAGTTGTTCACGAAATATGAAAAACAAATCAAACAAATCAAACAAAATCAATAAATAACTGCGGGGAAATACAAGAAATTCCACCAAAAAAAGAAAATTTTAAATTATTTGTAATGAGCGCTAATTTTGATTTTAACGCGAAATGCTTAATTTGTTCAGCTAGTTTTTTTGGGCTAATTACCAAAGTAATTGCTGCAGTAATTACAATTGTAATTGATCACATTTATGCTGCACAACATATCATGTGATATGTATTTAGCATAAACTAATTGGGAGCTGCAAAGAAAAATCAATCATGCATCAATATATCAATATTAATTTGCCTTAGCTGCCAAACTAAGTGCCTTTTATTTATGTTTTGTATACCCTGTACGCATTGAGAATGGGTAAGAAGGGTATACTGTTTTAGTGCAAATGTATGTAACAGGCAAAAGAAAGCATCTCCAACCCTAACAAGTATATGTATATATTATTGATCAGTATAAATAGTAGAGTCCATGTCTGTCTCTTCTTCCGTCCGTCCCCTCGTCTGTCTGTCTGTCCGTCCGTCTCTCGACTGTCAGTCTGTCCGTCTGTCCGTATGTATGAACCCGTCGATCTGAGAAACTATAAGCCCTATAGGCTGAAGGCTTTCCTCCTAGTCCCCCTGCAGTGCGAGTTTCTTTCCGATAATCGATAACTGGCTCCGTTTCCAAACAATCGATAAAAATCATTATCGAAATTCTGTTTTTTAAGCAAATCTCTTAAATCTTAAGAGCCAGAGGTACCTAATTTGACATGTAGCTTCTGGAAAAGTATATGAAGATCGAGAGCCTCCCGCCCTTCCACTTAGCACTGGCTGCATTTGTTGTTGGTAGAAGATGGTTCAGGGTATCCGCTAGTCGCGCACTCCCCGCTCGAGCACTCTTACATGTTATTTTTGCTGTTTGCCGCTCATTTGCTAACCGTGCAGGCCAAAATGTTTATGATTTTATGTGGCACAATGAAGAAACAAACCGCCTTTCGATAACCGTTAATTATGTGCGCTATTGTGATCTTTGATCTTTTTGCCAGACATTTCGCTTGGGCATTATCTATAAAGCTTGATTTTTTCTCCTTTTATTATATATACTATTTACTCTTTTTCGGTTTTCTTATAATTATATTGTTTTTTTGTTATTTCGGCTTTTGCCGGCGTTTTGCGCACACATTGAGCTATTGTTGGCTCGCGGCACAATTTGAGCTACTCTCTAAACATTTTGCTCTGCGCATAGACGTAATTGTAATCATGATTAAGTACTTTTCTGCTCTTAGCCAAATGAGCCGTAAAGTGCATGTGTGAGCGTGCGTGTGTGTGTGTGTGTGTGCGTGTTTATTCAGATTCACTTTCAGCGTGAATTGATTGAGAATGCTTGAGCCGC